GGAAGAAACTATTCATGCAATCGTGGGCGGCCTACCAAAAAGTTGCCTATTGAATATATACTACCGATTTCAATATAGAAATTCATCATCTCAAAAAAATTCTTATGATAGATATCAATAAGCATATTATTCCATTATTGGCATGGGCCAAACAATTGGCAGCTGCATGACTTTCAAAATGTTGAATTAATTGAACCCCTTAGATTCGTCTCCGATTTAACATCAACTAAAGTGAATTAGTAGAGAGATAGATAGCTTTACAAAGCTTTTGATATGTTTTATTCAATGGGTTGATAAGTATTCGATGAATTGAATAATATAATTAATGGGTACTCCTTTCTTTTACTTGGAAATCTTTAGTAGTCAATAGCAAGTTGAATACAGATGTATTAATGAATCAAAGCTAGTATGCATAAATGGCAAGCAGCACGTCTAGATATATTAGGATTATATATATCTTTAATGGGTTGAATTAGCTTTGAAAGCGATGAATGATGCCAATATGTTGTTTTAATTTGATTGTAGTTTCTCTGCTTTGCATGTTGGAAAAGAAATCTAATTGGTATATGAGGTGCTTAAAGTGAAAGCCAAACATTTATCGTCAAAGATAATTGCTATTCGAGTGCATGCTTCGCTAAGCATTAAGCGAAGGATAGTTTACTTCCACGAAGAAGCAGAAGATGAATTGTATAAATCTCTGATCTTGAATATCTTAGAAATGGAATAGCACACGCCGACTATATGCACTATTGCAGATATATATACTAATTCAATACAAATTGCAATGAAAGTAAGAGTTTGGTTTGAGAAAAAATTTACTTTAATTTGTTTACTTTTGATACGGACTCAATGCAAAATAGAATTTGATATCAAGGACCAAAATTTCTTGCATATAGAGCAAGAACTAAATCCATATTGGATTGTTAGATTACTTTATATATATATATATATATATATATATATAAATATATAAACAACTCTTTGTTAGATTATTGTTTTCCTACTCTGGTGATATTATTTTGTGCTTAATCTACTGCTAATAATTGCAATTAACTACTTGTATTAGGTAAATGCAAGCAATTTTGCTAATACAAACTTATTTAAAACAATTTGTGATTACTTGAACTCAAACAATAAGATAGTTTTTAAATTTTGAAATTTTGGTCGAAGTCATACATAAATTTCATTTTAAGAAAATATCGGGTAGTGATATATATATATATATATATATATAGACATACAAAACTATGCAAATCATTATTGGAGAATTACGTTCATGAGCCATATTATGCAAAAATTAAGATAAGAGACTCGATACTGTTGAAAGTTAATTTGACATTATGCACGACAGGTCAACCCTGAAAGTTTACTTGCTATGATGCTGAATGGTTCAATATTGAAGGAATAAAAACCTTTCCACGATCTTCATTGATTAAAAAAAATGGAGGTGTATAATTATAATGAAATGCCAAGAGAAATTTCATCAACTATAATTTGAATTATGATAGAATTGTACGATTCTTAAACTCCAATATGTTTGTTTAAAAAATGTTTTCCGATGTTCTTACTGGACAAGTTTTTTTAGGAAGTATTTCTAAAATGGGTGGATATTAAAATTGAAAAAAGAATTATTATTTAACTTTTTGTTCATTGAATATATATTAAAAAAATTACAAGTCATTTTAAGATCGTTTATTATATATGCACTGTCTGAAATTAATATTGCAAATAACTCTTACAAATTTTAGTAATAATAGATTTAAATTCTCTAATATAATCATATGAGAAAGAAGAATTGGCAATTTGTAATAAATAAAAGCCTAGTATGCGGTATTATTCAGTCATTTGGCAAGAGAAAACATCCAGAATGCAATGAATACATGATGAAATAGTTAGATTTGTATTCAATCTATTTGAGAGTATTAATTTCATGCAGGGGCAAAGTATTTTGTTACATTAATAGTTAGTAGAGTCAAAAGTTGACGACCACTTTCAAAAGCAAATGTTCAGAAAAGTGAACATAAGACACTGTTATTATAAGCTTTGAACCACAGAGTGAGACATCAATGGTGAGAGAGAGAGGGGGAATCGAAAGGAACAAAAGGCAGCAAAAGACGGAGCCACGTCAGTTAAGCTGACTATAAGAGCAGCGTGTTGAATTGGCCGTGCTTCCCAATTCCCATTATTCACAAAACATATGAATAACAGAGCGCGTGCGTCAAACAACAGCTGCCAATCGTGTCATACTGTCATTACCCTTCAAATAAATACCCATTAGTTGAGGGGTCCCAAAATAAATTGTCGGCGGTACCCTTTTCTCCAAAATTTCAAATCTATCTATTCTTTATCTGCCATCTACTCTCCACAATTATGAATCTCATCACACTTACTCTTTGCTAGGCTGAAAGGAAAGTTCGAATCATAAATAAATTAACTGATTAAAAGGAAACTCTGAGTAAGATTATTTATTTATTTATTTATTTAACCAAACTAATTAACACATATATTATTATTATTATTATTAGAGTTTTTCTTCATTTTTCTTCCTTTCTTTTCTGACCATATAAACACTAGTTTAGAAAAAAGAGCTTCATAAAAGTTGGTACGGTTAAAATGAGAACTGAACCTTGAAATTACAGAATGTGATGATTTTGAAAGGTTTCACACCCCATTCCCGTCTAAATGTTGAAAATTTAATTTCAGAAAACATGGGCTGCTGCATGTGTGTTTTTATGCACTTTTTTTCCAATGGGTCTGAAAGGGAAGCATTTCGAATGCTTTTAATTTCCTTTTAAGTTAGCAGAAGGAACTCTTGTTTATGCATGCTTAATTTGGTGAAAAATGTTTCCTTTCATAGATTTATATAATTATGAGACTAATCATTTTTTAATTATAAAGAGTGTAAACCAGAAAAATTTCTTTTTAATTAAAAAGGCAATTTCAAGATAAGATGTTAATTTAAATCTTATATAATTATCAACAAAGTTTAATGCATTTAACAAAAATTGGATTAATGGAAAAAAAATTATAAAAAGAGACAAAAGTTACTATCATAATTTTTAACATTATTTTTTATTTAAAATTTAAGTTTTACTTTAATAATATATGCTAATGTTTATTATTATTATTATTTCATAAATTATTGAAATAAAACTTTAATCTTAATTAGAAAATAACACAAAAAACACTTGTAGTAATGTACGTAAATTTTTTTAAAATATATAGATTTAATTTTACTCATTTATTAAATAGACATAATCGAACATAAGTCTTGTATTATTTTCGTTTCTAGTTATCTTTTAAGAGAAAGAAAAGCATAAAAACTGTGAATATAAGAGGTAACTTTTTATTTTGAAATTTCAAATGCTTGGGGTTGAATCCATCGGTGAATATACGATTCCTTACTTTCGGTCTTTATAATTATAATTAGCGCTAATGAAATAAATATATGTTAACCTTAAGATTGAGTTTTAAGACTACTTATTATTATTATTAATTAAAAATATTTTATAATACCTTTATATTTTTAATGTATAATAAATATATTTTATCAATGAAATTTTATAATTTTTATATATTTAAACTCAATACTATAATTTATAGTTGATAAAACTAATAAAATAATTAATGTTGTGCTTAAATTGAGGCAAATAAATACAAAAATTAATTTATAATTGACACATGTAATACAACTTGGCCGAAGCTGAAACGGCTCTACCTAATTCTTTTTGTAATAATTTGATAAATTTCTCCTCATATAATAAAATAAAGTCATTAGTTTTTAGAATTAGGAAATTTTTTATTTTATTTTTTGTATTCTTAAGACACGATTTCTATTTAATTTATTTTTTGCATAATTTTTACTCAAATTTCATATCATATTATCAAATTTTTTATATTATTTTCACAGATCATAATCTCAAATTGATTAATTTTATATTTTCCCTTCCACATTAAAATCTGCCTTTTCTCCTCCTTATCTCAAATACTGCCAGTTTTATTTAGTATCTTGAAAATCACTCACTAATATTTTAGTTTATCCCCTAAAAAGATGAACGGAAGTCTAAAATATCAATACAATATGTAAAATATTTGTATTATATGTTACTTAAATGAAGTTATTTCGTGACCCATTATAAAAAGACTGACTATTTTTATACAATAACATGTGTTTTATTCTAGAAAATTAAAATAATTATACAACTGATACATTATTTGAATAATGAAATTACAAAACCAGCATAACTAAATATTGACATGATATATTAGCACAGAAATGCAGCTTAAAAGTAACACGAATTATACTAATTAAGCTCAAAACTCGATATTTTCATGCTGAAAATGAAAATCGAATCACAATATATGAAATTCGTACCAAGCATGTACTTGGATAGGATTTTCCTAGAAGGACTAGTCCATAAATGTGCATGTAAAACCAGAAAAAAAGATATTGACTCGAAGAGAAAAATGAAATTGGTTTAGCAGAAAGTCAGAGGACACAGTATGAAATATGAATAAGTTTGCAGCGGAATGGATGAGTTTGAGCATATTGAAATGGTAGGGAAACAAATTTTCTATATATTTGTTCACTCGTGGTAGAGGAATGAAAACTGTTTCTTTGGCATATAGATTTGAAGTCAACCTCAATCAAGGGAGAAAAAAAATAGGGTCCACTTGATCATGTTAAATACTAAATAAATTATTCTCTCTCTTATTTCTCACTCCACTCACCCAGCCGCAACAGAAAAAAAAACCGGACCCAACTCGTGACATAATGCCCAACCGACCACATAAACAAAAGAAACTCTCCAAAAATACGAATTTTGAAGTTCTTGGTCAAATCCTCGCCTAACATGCCTTTTTGGTCTCCTTTCACGCACCCTTCCCTTCTCCACTTCATATAAAACTCCACTGTGTCTCTCTCTCCTTTCATCCACGAACAAATCAAACTCTCTCTCTCTCTCCGCATTCTTCCTCCTTTATCTCTCTCTCTCAAGTCTATGGCTTCTGCCACACACATACCCAGCATAACCAACACGAATCACATCACATTCTCACAAAGCTTTCCCCCCTTAAAGTCTCATCCCTTTGGCCAAGTTTCGTTGCCCCATAGAAAACATGACTTGTCTCCCCCAAGCCACTCAATCATAGCTTCGGGTTCCGCACTAGGAATCACCACCGTTACCCCTACAAGACCCTCAACCCCTACTACTACTACTACTCTATTTAATTTTTGGCGAGAGGTTCAAGGGTGCAACAACTGGGATAACCTTTTGGACCCTTTGCACCCTCTTCTTCGCCAAGAGATTATTCGCTATGGTGAGTTTGTCACTGCCTCTTACAAGGCCTTTGACCTTGACCCCAACTCCAAACGATACTTGAACTGCAAGTATGGGAAGAAGAGCATGTTGAGTGAGGTGGGAATGGCAAACTATGGCTATGACGTCACAAAGTACATCTACGCCACTCCTGACATCAACCTTCCCATCACAAACTCTTCTTCTTCTTCTTCTTCTTCTGGTCGGTGGATAGGGTACGTAGCTGTGTCATCAGATGAAGCTGTGAAGAGACTTGGTAGGAGAGACATAGTTATAACTTTCCGGGGAACAGTTACCAATCAGGAATGGATTTCAAACTTGATGAGTTCCTTGACACCGGCCATGCTTGATCCTCATAATCCACGACCTGAAGTGAAGGTGGAATCAGGGTTTCTCTCCCTTTACACCTCTGATGAAAGCTCTTCCAAGTTTGGTCTCGAGAGTTGCAGGGAACAGCTTCTCTCAGAGGTGTCAAGGTTGATAAACAAGTACAAAGGAGAGAGCCTTAGCATATCCTTGGCTGGTCATAGCATGGGGAGTGCCTTGGCTCTCTTGCTTGCTTATGACATAGCTGAACTTGGATTGAACAAAAAAAATAACCACAAAAGCAGTAGTGAAGTGCCCCTTACTGTGTTTTCCTTTGGGGGACCAAGAGTTGGTAACTCTGAATTTAAACAACGGTGCGAGGAGTTGGGAGTGAAAGTGCTAAGAATAGCGAATGTTAATGACCCCATCACCAAACTACCTGGTGTTTTGTTCAATGAAAATTTTAGGGTTTTGTTGGGTCCATACGAGTTCCCATGGAGTTGTTCTTGTTATGCTCATGTGGGTGTTGAGTTAATGCTTGATTTCTTCAACGTCCAAAACCCTTCTTGTGTTCATGACTTGGATACCTATATTGGCCTTCTTAGGCGCCCCAATAATGTTGAAGCGCTGACGCGTCAAAGGGACGGAGTGAACTCTTTGTTGGAGAAGGCGAGAGAGTTGATGAGCTCACACAACATAAAAATGTTATCTGGAGTATTAACTGCATGTAACTACCATGATTTGTTCAATTCGGTCTCGAGGGATATATTATGTTCTTGGAGCGATGAACTGCTTTTTGGCCTAGTTCTTTTGTTGTTGTAACTAGTAATTAATGAAACTGGTTAATTACTATATATATACAAGTTTAGAACTAAAAAAGAATTAGCTACAAGTTGTAGAATTAATGAAGGGGTGAAGACGACCGAGGACTAGACTATATATATATATATGTATATATGTAAATCCTTGTAAATTGATCGATCCATGGAGCTTTAAAATCCATGTTTATAACTTGCAACCTAGTATATATATATGATATGCAGTTTCTACATTGTTTGTTTTCAACTAAATTTTCGTTGTCGTTTCATTGTCGTTTCATGAGCATTCGTGAACATGATCGGTAGGGCATCATCCTTAAAATAATGGGCTGATTTATTTAAGCTTAAATTTTCCTCTCAATTCTAGCAGGTTAGACAAGAAAGTGGGAAGGTAATTATGATCTCCTTCCCAAAACTCTTTCCCCTCTTTATTAAAGGGAAGATTAGACGTTTGATACTCACAAGATCATACTTGGGTGGAGAAACTGGCTAAGTCTGACAAGTTCAAACTCGTAATAATATAACAGCTGAGTTATATTTTCACATCCCTCTCTTCCTCTAACTGTTTAAAATCCCAAGATGGGGTGTCAAAAAACTTTCCATTTTATAACTGCTTAGAACTCTGCCATACGTATTTGCTAATATTTCCATTGTTATTTTACTTATCACTCGAGTTCACTCAAAGTAAATTTCTCAGATATTACCTATTAATGATGTGATATCTGAAGTGTATAGAATGTCCGAACCTTCATCTTTCCAAAGTTCTGCTGGTGCTCGTGTCAGTCGTGTGTGTAACACCATAGTTTCCACATGGAACAGTAATGTTTACAGAACATTTGGAAGGCAATATTTTTTGGTGTCCTTTGTGTATTTTAATGTACTATTTTCGTTTTCCATTTACTGTCTATTGAGAAAAAAAATTAATTAATCATTTTGTTAGAATGAATTATTAATTTTTTTAACAGATTATAACTACTAAAATAATATAAATATTTTATATAAACAAAAATGTATCAGTAAAATAATAATAATAATAATAATAATAGTAAATATTATTTTAAATTTTACACGAGTGAAATAATATGTATTTATAGTGGTTTAAATAACAAAACTCTGAAAAATATTACTTTATTTAAAGGATTCATGCCCTGTTAATTAGACAGTTAATGAATTTTGTATGGTTTTCGAAAATTGAAATCCTAACAGTTAATGTAAGTAGAATGATTTCAGGACTACAGCTAATAACTTGCTTTTAGATTTTGAGACGTTCATCGTGTAGATATGGTTCAAATATTAACTACTCTACTTGCTCACATGTTTCATGTCAAAAGACTTTCATGCAAGCATGTTTACTAGAGAGTAAAATAATTCTTGGATCTGTACCTAAAAGCACAAGCGTAAGCTTTTACAACTTTATTAATCTCAAAAGTGGAGAAAAAACTTGTATGCATCTAACGGTAATGCTATTAGGACATAAATGTTTGTTTTACATGGCCTTTTTTTTTTCTCTATATTGTTTTTACACTTCGATAATATGTCAAGCTATAGAAAAGAGGAGAAATCTTTCTCAATGGATGTAAAAGATAAATGTAACAAAATAAAAAAGCCATGTGAAATAAGCTCAGTTTTACATTGCTTTTCATATACTCTTTACAAAATATCAAATGACCACACAAAAAATAAAGGGAGAGAAACAGAATATTGCAAATAGATTTAAAAACGAGTATAAAGAGATTGAAGTGAAATTAAAAATTAGAGGAAGATATTATATATATATATATAAGGAAGATAGATAAATAAACAAATAAATATAGAAATAAATAACATCATGTATAATATTAATTGTTTACATTTTAAAAATAAATAGATTATTAAAGTTCCATTAAGAATCCTTGAGTGTGAAACAATAATTTGGTCATGATTACACTGCTGAAAAGTTTTAAATGTTGACATTTTTCTCTTAGTTTCTCTTTTGTGCAGCCGTATAATAGTCAATGTTAGTAACTTAAAGTCCAGCAACATTCCATACTGACTTAAAAAAAAAATTACTTTTTCTTTCTGCATAGGGTAATAATCCATGTCATTTTTAACGTTGCTTTTACCCTCACGAGCGGTGTTTGGTTTGGTTTCAATCAACTAAGTGTTTGGTATTTTTTTTTAAAAAAGGGGTGAAGTCATGAACATAAAATATTATGACTTATATATAGTACATGTTTGATAGTTGATTAAATATGAGAAATGCTTTTTTTAAACTCTTGCGAAATGTTGGTAAAAGAAATGATAAAACTGAATTAATAACCCTTGCAAAATTTAATCACCTGACTTTTTCTTCTCTTTTCTTTAATAGCTTTCAAATTAGAGGCACAATGGTACATAGAAATATAGCCTTCCTACGTGTGAGAAGAAAAGCAAGGTAAGAATCACTCTCAAAATACACCATAATCAATCTCCAATGTTTCCATGCAAAGCCAAAAGTATACTCCCTATATATAATAAGCCAACCCACATATTTTATAGTGATGCCACTAATATATATTGAAATCACAGTTCATTGCCACAACTTAAAAGATAAGTTCCAATCTTCTTATATTTACACTACAAAAAATTATATTATCTATTAACAAATAAAAATTATCAAACATTACGGCAATGTTTATCAATATATTACTTATATCTAACAATAATTAATTTGTTAATATAAACGTAAATGTTTACACTAATAGATAAAATATTATATTAACATTTAATATATTGACAATATGTATAAATATTTTTATACTAATAAATTTAATATATCATACACTTAGTATAAGTTCGTAAAAGCTAATCTAATATTAACTTATTAATAAACATAATGATTTTTTTATAATATCTTTTATTAATATCATATTATAAAAATTACAAAATTTGTATAATAAGCTAAAGACTTTATAAAATGAACATTAAAAAGATAAGTCTGTATATAAGTCGTCGTTTGCTAGCTATTCTCCAAACGGAGCTAGCTACTCTTATTTTCTATTATTTCTGAATATAGTTAGTACCATACTTTTTAATATATTTTTTATTATCTATTAAAATTATAAATATATGTAAATTTTAATTTTTTATACTATTAAATTAACTTTTTTTCTCTTGATTTTTTATAAATTCTAGCATTCCTCTCGTGTTTCTTTGTATGAAAGCACCTTCGTCACGCTCCGACTATTATCGGAAACACGTTGACCAAGTTTTGTAACTATTATTTGAAGCAATTTTTGGCAACCATTATTGACAAATTAGTGATTGTTACCTTCTTTTCTTATGTAATTCTTGAAAATCCAGTTCCTGACACAATTTTCAATTTAAAACCCACTAAATTTGAAGATTGGATAGCAAAATTATAAGGATTTTTCGAGGACATACTTGGTCGGAAAAAAAAAATCATTTGCAATAATAAAATATTGGAAATTCAACCACATATTTTCAACCTAAAATATTTGTATACATAAGAAACTTTCATATAATCATGATCAGTATTTTTTAAAACAATCGTATGTATAATTTTACGAAATTTAATGAAAATCATTAACATTTAAAGATATGATTTACAATATTAGCTATATTGAGAATCAATTTAAATATAAACTAGATCAAATAAAAAATTTAATTATCTAATGCTTTCTAATAAAATATTATTATACTTAAAGATTATTATATAATAACAACCTTCGTCTAAAAACAAAGAACACAATGCTGGGACAAGTAGACTCGTCATGGCTACGTATATACTGGACAGACCAATATGTTATTAGATACTCAACATTTTTTTACATCATTTAGGTCAACACAGTCGTGTAAAATCTTCGCATGGATGTTACTAAAAAATGTATTTTTTATTAACTAAAAATCTTATTAAAATAAGTTTAAAAGAGTTTATAAAAATTTAAATTATTTTAATAATTTTTCAATAAACTCTTTTAAACACACCTTAGTATATCAATAAAGCTTCAATCCCAAAATTCTCATAACTAAACACTTTTTATATATCCTATAATATATTTCTCTCTTTTAATCATGATCACTTTAATATGCAATACGCTTTTTTTTTTTCATTTGTCAGAATAACTTTGCAAGAACATAAAGAATTCAATAACTGCCAAACCATTAATTTATGTAGCATTGATACTTTAACTCTATCTCTTTATTATTTATGTAGCAAGTATATATTTTAAATGCAATTTGTGTGTATCAATTATTGACTATATATCACCCATGTTAGCAAGAGAATATGACAAATAATTTATGACTTCAAATATGATTCGTAGACTTGATGTCTATTATACTGCTGTGAAAAGGTAAAAATATTCTACCGTGCAATTTAGTCATAATAAAGGCATTCTAAAAGGGTAAACGGATCTTCATAAAGAATGTCATTGAAACTTAAAAACTTTCTTAATGATATTAAACATTTTTTTTTATGCATTACAGCTCTTAATTCTCATCATTTTTACCAACTTTATTTCTCTTTCTCTTAGCATATGCAGCCGATTATTTGTCATGTATAATGCATCTTCATTTATTTTTTTTTCATGAGGAGAACCCCTATTTACAATATCCACATAATCTACAAGACAATTCTTGCCAATGTTTCAAATTCATGAAGATACCATAAATTTCTTACCTTGTTAACTCATGTAGATGAATTATTATTCCTATTTTACTAATAAATCCAACAAATCTTGGTGATGACCTTATTAACTAATGTTCTTAAGATATTGACTATAAATTAATAATTATTTTTATATAAAAAATAATGTTAAAAATGTATTAAAAATCATAAGAAAGTTTGTTATTACACTTAGCATTTGCTTAATAGTAATAATATTAGTAACAGCTATAACAATAAAAATAATAATAATAATAATAATAATAACAATATAGAGTAACAATGGCAATATTCTAAGTGTTCCATATTTCATTACCTAATGTTCGTATATAGCTTAATTAATACTTAAGGCACACACC